GACTTCCACTTTCTGTACCCATATTCTCCCTATGTCTGATATCACTATTAGAATATAGGTCAATGACTTCCACTTTCTGTACCCATATTCTCCCTATGTCTGATATCACTATTAGAATATAGGTCAATGACTTCCACCTTCTGTACCCATATTCTCCCTATGTCTGATATCACTATTAAAATATAGGTCAATGACTTCCACCTTCTGTACCCATATTCTCCCTATGTTTGATATCACTATTAAAATATAGTTCAACCTCTTCCACCTTCTGTATCCATATTCTTCCAATGTCTGATATCACTATTAAATTTCGTTCTACCTCTTCCACCTTCTATATCCATATTCTTCCAATGTCTGATATCACTATTAAATATAGTTCAACCTCTTCCACCTTCTATATCCATATTCTTCTAGTGTCTGATATCACTATTAAATATAGTTCAACCTCTTCCACCATCTATATCCATATTCTTCTAGTGTCTGATATCACTATTAAATATAGTTCAACCTCTTCCACCTTCTATATCCATATTCTTCTAGTGTCTGATATCACATTTCAACCTTTCCCACCTTCTATACATGTATCCTTTCAACGTCTGATATCATTGCTTGCAACTACTTGGCCGAATATTCGTTAGGACAATGCCCAGTAATATAGCCCTTATGAATATTGCACATTAACAAAACACTAATCGTGTTTATTTTCTTACGTTATTACTTTGCTGAAGTCCATAATGAAGACATTTCACTCCTGTGTCAGTTTTTACTTTAAGCCTAAATCGACATATAAAATATTTGTTAGGATATCTGTAAACAAATAAAACAAAAATACACTTTTTATACAAAAGTTCATCTGCCAGCGAAGGGAAACCAGTGTATTCAGGGACGACATTTGGGGGGGGGGGGGTTTAGACAGGGGCTGCCCCCCAAGCTTGAGAGGGGGATCAAAATGGTAATTTTCTTGAAACATTTCTAGTCAGGCCAGATTAACACATATACTCAAATTACACCATAACGTAAATGCCCCAGCTAAATGCGAGGTCAGCTTTCTTTGCACACCTCCCTAAACCTTTTAGGAAATGACACTTCTGAGTTTATTAATGCAAGAAGTGATTAACATTGCATTTGAAATTTTTGAAACTAACGTATTACAGAATTTTGGGAAATTAGCATATGTAAGATAAAGACTCTACTGTGAAACAAATAAAGCCCATAGTACAACAACACGTGTGTCGGGCCTGTTTCACGGTGGTTGGATAATAGTATCGCCCTTGAACCAATCAAGGTTTCTTTACATCTAAATTTTTATTATAAGAACAATGAAAATTATCTTTCAAACGTACTTCATTCATCGTTGCAACTATTATATTACATCATTAAATTACGGTGATTGTTTGGGTTTCTTTTAGAACAAAAGCCACTTTGAGCTAACTGCTGTGTCCACTGCAGGGATTCGGAACTCGCACTTTAGCGTTGAAAGTCCGTAGATTGAATGCTACGGTGATTGTACATAAATAGGTGTCACTTGGTCATTTGAAACATGTATTGCAACACAAAGATGAAACCTATAGTACAACAGAATGAAACTCGTAAAGCAACCGAATCGAATACCATTTTCGAAATTTGTCTTCTAGCGACACATAAAGAAGAAATTATCTTTCAAGCGATACCTGCTTCAAAGCTGTAGTTATTGTATTTACGTCAAAGTGACTGTCGTTTGTACATCGATGGGTGTAATTTTTTCGTCCATTAAAGTAAAAGTTAGTATCCAAGCGGGCCAGTTGCGAAGTTCATGGGGAAAATCTTAATATATGTTTATAGATAGACCAGTCAGTATACTTAAAATTGTGTTTGAGATCTGTAAGTTAAACACAATAATCAGACAAAAAAATAAAAAAGTTATGCCAGATAGGAAGGTGATAACTTCTAACACTGTAGTAAGATCTACCGCAGGCAATCATTAGTAGGAGATCATAAATTCTAAAATATAATTTATTGTTGATAGAATTATATATATATATATGCGTAGACCTGGAATTATTTAATGACATTATCTTATTATCATTACAAACCCTAAGAAGGTAGAACCGTTTTTATTGAGTTTTTTACAACCACGCGATCTATCCTTGTTGTTCAATATTACGTATGTAATATTTAGGGTAATAGACTTCTTTTCCAGTTCGAATTTATGTTTTTCTTGATTTTTAAATAAAAGCGCGAACATTTAACTTCAACATTCTCCACCAGGGGACGTATTCAATCGTATGGTAAGTTGGCCGTATGCCAAGAGATGCAGACCTGTTTTATACTAGCGATGTTTGTAAGTGCGCCTATATTTAATGATAACCTTCTTGGTTGTGCCTTATAACGTATGTTACAAAATACACAAATGACTTAACAAACGAAAGGGCCGTTCTATTCATTCCATGTAGAATATATATTAGTGGGTGTTTGAAAACTTTGGTTTTGAATAGGTGTGTTTGTTAAAATCACACCCGCGAGCGCGCGTTTCTGTCGCTGAAATTCAGACCACATGACCCGCTTGCTTCCTCGTCGCTACTACTACTACTTGTACTACGTACAAATCTATTGCCTGTTAGACTACAGTGTTTGTAAGTAACCATTACTTTAGGCTAAAGTAAAATACTATATTTTAAAAGTTAGTTTAACAATTTTGAGTCACATGTGCCAGTTACACTCCAGAAATATGGAAACTGTATTATTTGATCAAAAAATGAGACAACATTGCTGCGACATTTTAATACGTGACAGCATAGTTGAATTGGTTATAAAGTGTTTTACAATTAAGAAAACCAGGGTAGTAGTATAAGCACATTAATGCTTATTAGGTACTTAGAATTACAGTTGTGTAGAGTAAAAATAATTTGACAAAATTGTTTTCATTTATTAATGAAATATTTATTTATTTAATATATTTATTTAAATATATCATTTAAGAATATGTTTTATGTGGTTGGTTTATCAAAGGAGGAGACTCGCAACACATTAATTAGTACTGAATATTTATTGTCACGTATAATGTGTAATTAAATAGCCATCTCGTCATAAAGTAACTTGTGTATTTTTCTCCATTACCTAGGATTAGTTACATTCAACCCTAATATATATTAAATATTTTATACAGAATGTAAAAAGTGAAATTGTTTGGCCCATCCTTGAGGTGTTTTGGCTGTGACTGATTACGTTGTGGTACGTGATTGTTGAATTAATTTATTTTAAACATGTATTGTACGTGTTGAACCCCGAACAACACCGAATTGGAGTCGTATTTCATGACCCTGTTTAAATACTCAATCACTTATATATCTTCTACAGTTAATGACATTTCAGTTACCTGTTCTTTATGTCATTTAGTAGGAAAGAAGCAGAACATGGCTAGGATTTACAGACGATAAGGTACAACTAACACGAAAAAAACTATTAGCGACTGAAAAACAAACTTAAGAAGTGATACTGTAAGAAAAATAAAAATATATCAAGTTTAAACAAATTTAAGAAAGTTCAACAAACCGTGCAAAGAATTTCAATTTCGTGTGTAGATTTACAACAGATTTAGGCGATAAAAACTACTTCAAGACTGGTCTATTGTGACTTGAGAATAATAATGCCCTTTTTTTACATTTTTATTAATTTTCTGAATGCCTTAAGCGACAATAATTTGTCCTTCTATTCTATTTAGTATGCTATTATCATTAGATATTTTATTTAGCTCCGAATATATTTTATATATACTAGTATTTTGTAACATAAAAAAAAATTCCGGTTGTCACCCGAAACTTTTGAAGCTTTATAGAAGAGTTTTAGGCAGTCACAGAAAACAGTAAGACGACGTGTTTTATTCAGGTGAATGTGTTTCATATAACGTAATTTAGTATTTACTGTACAGTTCTAGAAAAATTGATAAAGTGAAATTAATTTGGGAGAGTGAAATACTTTTATAAGTTATCCAATTTTAAAAATAACAATTTGTCATTTTTGAGTCATTTTGAAAGAAGTTTGGGGAGAGGAGATATTGGTAACCAGTAACAATTCCGACTACTTTTCATTTCAACATTATACACACGTTAAAGTACTTGAAAAGTTTCTGTATTGAAAAACGTTGAAAATGTGGAATTTCGAAATATGTCACGTGATTGGATTGACAAGTAACTTTTTTGAGGTATCAATCTAGTGTAATGATTGGTCATTTGAGTTGTCGATATAATAACGCATATATTGCTAGCACATATCTGGACTATTTGCTTACTTTTCTCTGATAACAATATCATAGGATATTTATACGTCTAAAAACTAGTTTATCTTCTATCTTACGCGATGCGTGGTGTTTGCCCGAATCGTCATTTTCAAGCTTAGGCGTCGTATGCACAGCTTTAAAATTAGTGATTTATTCACTTGTAGGCAAACCTCTTCAACAGTAAACAAAAATACAAATTTTTATATTATGTGCTATCTCACCCTCTCTTGGCGATGTTAAGTTTGTAACTCACAATAATATTTTAAGAACTCTAGTTTTTATTATTACGTACACACATTGTTACACAAATATTGTGTGGATTGTAATACTGCTTACTGTTAAAACGCGTAGTACAAAACCTTCTACATCTCATATTATATATGTTTTGAAATTATGTTTTATTCTTTCTTTAACACTAGTTTCATTATAAGTATTGATTAAACTGTTTAATGTATTAATTTTTATCACTTTTCATAATATATCTTAAGCTGGTCGAACATCTTGATGGTTATTTAGAATCATAGGATTACAGTCGAAAATATCGCCAACATCTAGCCCAATTGATGAATTGTTAAATTCTAATCATTGTAAGTGAGAGTGGTCGGAACCGTAACTAGGAAATTTAGCAACCAGGGCAGGTCGTCATACTTGCGCCCCCATTTTGGTCAATTTGCCGCCCCTCACTACTTTGCGCCCGGGGCAGCTGCTTTCCCCCACCTCAGCTACGGGTCTAACAAGAGTATATTAAGTTAGCTATAGTCATTACTCCTTGCTTTGATCAGAAGTTAATTGTAATATACTTTAAGAATTAGTGCTAAGATAGCAGGAATTGTGAATGTTGACCTTTATTGAAATACATTGGTGTGTATTTATATTTCATTTGTTATTGGAAGGCTTTTCTGTTCGACTGACTGAAGGGCTTTTAAAATATTACTTTTATATGTGAATTTGCGAAAAGGAATATATATATATATATATATATATTGTACAAGAAAAGTACTTGAAAATCAATACAATTAGATTAGCGTCCATTTTTTCTCAAACAGTAAAATAAACAACACGTTTAACCATCATGCCTTCTAAATTGAGCAGGAATATTGTAATATTTTATCTGATTTATCTGTCTCTTATTACAAGTTTACACAGCTATTGATTTCTACATAGTAGACAATATCTAACAGTTGGTAAATCAAACGTAGCCCCCCTGTGGCACAGTGGCATGTCTGCGGACTTACAACGCTAGAATCGGGTTTCGATACCCGTGATGGGAAGAGCACAGATAGCCCTTTGTGTAGCTTTGTTCTTAACTTCAAACAAATAAACAAAATCAAACGTAAAAACATTATTTTCTTGTAGTAATTAATGTTATACCCCCTAGTGTTCTGGACTCACCTTTAACTAGTGATGGACGAATACTTGTTTGTATGTGTTTTGTATATCTATATATGTATTTATGCATAAATAACTTGACTATTCCTATTACAGACCGGATCACTGCATTCAACTTTCCAGTCAAAGTATGGTGTATTATAAAGTGTTGCTTACTGAAGCCATAGAAAAGTATAGAATCGATGTTAATGGATAGCTTGGGTCAGTAGACAGAAAATATTTTGGCTGGTATTAATGGAGCATGAACTGGCTTCGTTAATGTTCCGTTTTTGTTCGTAAAGTCCAGCTGGATGGTATGCTCTAATTTCATGCTTCCAGACAACCGAAACATATCTACGTTTTCAAACTTTTTTGATATCCATCAATAAGTTTGTGTAGCATTTCTACCGAGAGTGTACACTGTCTGAGCCACGCTTGTGATGTAGCCACTTGCATTTTGTTTGTGTAACTTTCTCTTTGAGGACTTGCTCTCTATCAAAATTCCAAATAGTACTGGGTTGTACTAGTCTGTTGGTTATAATTTAATTTTAGCACTTTTTAATTTCAAATGCAATTGCGAAAAAAAAGTAGGCCAGCAGTTTAATACTGCTTTATACAAAACAATTAGAATATATGTAGTGTTAAAAAATCTCCAGCTAAATTAGTTTCATAGGAAGTGTATTATAACCTAAGGGTTTCCAAACTTAGACCGTAGCAAATATCCAATACTATTAAGGTATTCAGTATTTATAGATTCAATCGAATGGGGGGGGGGGTGGCAGGTTCGCGATGCGAAATATTGTGGGGGGCCATATGCTGAGAAAGTATGAAAACCTCTGTTATAACCAATAATCCAAACTTCGATGACATTGATTTAGAATTAAACATTACAGTTCTTAGATGGCATTATATTGATAATGTAAAGCAGCTTGATTTATGTTTGACCTTTGAATGTAAAGGAAAACACAAGTATACAAATCAAAGTTTAGATTTATGTCTAAGATGTTGTGTTTGTTCTTGAAACAAACTCAAAGATGTTCTTCAGATAATATTTAGTTTCAGAAGAAAAAAGAATGTCTGGTCCATTAGCGATGCTATATATAGATTGATGTGATAAAAACTGGAGTGAAATACAGTGAATAAGGACTAATCGGTCTAATTTTTATTTGTCTAGCTTGGTTTTCAAGGCATACATACTGCTTGGAATTTTTGTTTTTTTAATACTTGACACAGTACAAGGTGAAAACAAAAATTAAGAAGTTTACAGTTAAAATAGATAATTATTAACTGGTTTAACTGTTACGGTCGTGTTTTGCATATTTAAAGAACAAACCAATATTATGATCATGATAATCTTGTTGTATTTATTTGATCCATACACAAATATAGACGATTTATTTGTTTGTTGTTAGGCCCAAAGCTGTATAATGGGCAATATGTGCGCTGAGCCCATGAAGGGGTCAAACCCCAATATTTTTTAGTTATAAACTTTCGAGCTTATCCGCTGAGGTGGGGAGGGGAAAGGAAAGTACTGGTATTTACAGTCAGTAAGATATTAATAAGTAACTTTCAATGTTTCTTTCCCCCAATTAAGGTGGATGTGTTTATACCGATTCAGCCATGTTGTCAGAAAATTAGCAGCTTTGTCTCAAAAAATGTATTCTATAGATTTTGTTGTTTATATTAACTTACATTATTTTGTCATCCTATATTCAGATCATGTACATTGAGATTTTCTCTTTTAATCCGTATTTCTTCATTCGTGAAATATAAAAGTACGCTAGATATTTTTCAGTCTTATTAAAATGTTATTAAAAACGTACACAACCTGTTGTGCCCATAAATGACTTTAGTTGTTTAATGATGTTACTTTTCTGCAGGGAAAGGTTGTGTTATTCTTCCTTTTATCTGAAAGTAACATAAATGTCAGCTTGTTAGTTTTAAAAACAATTTAACCCATATATAGTTAAAACAAACTCTTTCTTTAAA